CCATTCTCAGACCAAAGTTAAAACCCACCCAGGGAGAGCTCTATCATAATATTCCAGCACCACGATGCCTGCCTTGGGGCCCAAACAGCACTCTGCATGGAAGCCAGGCAGCCCCCTGCCTGAAATGTGTTCTCCTGGAGTTCCTCTCAAGATACAACCAAGAAGCAGAAATTATGACCTACGTAAAACAGAGAGGCCTTCTGGGATACCATTCAGGCTCCAGAGCAAGGCACTAACAAAGCTCAGACCACAATCAGATGTCCAGTGTTTATTCCTTTATATTCCTTCCAGCAAATGGTTTTAGTGTGAGGGATACAGTGTTCCCACTTTCTTGGGTTTTCTTTTCTTAATCCTGTTATCTTTTATATTTTCAGTCAATCCATGAATGGTTTGACTATTGATCTGTAACAGAGAGGAAATGCCCAATTCACAAAAGCGTTGTGCTCCAACACTCCAAAATTGGTTGTTTTGGGGACTCAGAATATATTTTCTTCAAGAAAAAATATTATGCGTGATAGGTTTACAGGCCAGCCCCACAAAATCCTTCTTAACTCATAGTGTTGTTGGGCACTGCACTTGTCTGGTATAAATGAGCAGAATGTAATTTGGTAATAGTATTAATAAAACAAACCCAAATATTAAAGATATAATCTCCTTTATTCTGAATCATATTTAATGAAATAACCAGTTTAATGAAAAAAGATAGAGGCTTTTTTTTTTTTTTTTGAGACAGGGTCTTGCTCTGTCACCCAGGCTGGAGTGCAGTGATGCAATCACAGTTCACTGCAGCCTCGACCTCCTGGGCTCAAACCATTCTCCTACCTTAATCTCCCAAGTAGCTGGGATTGCAGGCACATACCACCATGTCTGGCTAATGTTTGTATTTTTTTCGAAACAGGGTTTCGCCATGTTGCCCAGGTTGGTCTCGAACTCCTGGGCTCAAGCAATCTGCCCACCTCAGCTTTCCAAAGTGCTGGGAGACAGAGGCTTTTTAGGGCGAGACTCGCTTGCAAGATAATTTGGGAGGCCCGATGGCAGCAGTTTGATATGTTTTTCTGTCCGATTTCACCTTGATACCTTTTTTCATTTTCCTTCATACAGGTATGATGCACAGGAGCCAAGATTAGGGTAGATTTGAGACTCACAAAGGAAAACCAACAAAGGATAGGGGAGCAAGAGGGAAAATAAGTTTAAAAGAGATCTCTCTGATGAGGGGATTAAAGCATGTTGTTGCAAGGAAATTGGCTAAATCTGCATTAATTGATTGGCTAAGAAGAGGTAAGGAAATTGGGGAGAAGGCTAGAGACCCAGTATTAGAGCCACAGGCCTTCCAGGTAGGCAGAGTCCTGAGGACCGTGTGGTCAGACAGTTCCCTCTCCAACCATAAGGTGGTGCCATCAGCCCAGACAGCCAGCCCCAAGGGGGCGGGGCGTGCAGTGGGCGGAGCTCCCCACGTGTAAGCCATGTTCTCCGCTCAGGTTCCGGAACTCGGAAAGCCTGGACCAGGCAGCATGTCTCAACCTGCACATCACTGACTTAGCACCCATGAACTGTGCCCCTCCGCTAAAGCCCCTTCGGCTCACACCTGAGCAAGAACATGTCTGTCTTGGTAGGCGTCCAGACACACGTGAAGATTCCAACTAATTCCTTCCCACTCCTCTCCTCTTTCTCCACAGTGGCAGCTCTGGGCCCCTGAGCATTTCCTAATTCCTAAAGAGAACCAGGTCTAAAGTGCCCTACTGTCTCATCCTTAAATACCGTCAGATGTTCCACAAGGAGCACAGATTTGTCACAAGGGGCCCAGCCTTGACAACATGCCCTGGCTGACTTCCCTAGTTTGATGTCCCACTTTGTCACCTAACTGGGCAACCCCTATTCCTGATACAAATCCCACCGGACCCTCTCCATGCATCTACTCCTGCTGGTCCTCCCACCTGCCATGCCCACTCTTTTCCTTGCCTCTATTTGTCACTATCCTCCCCTATCCTTCATGGTCTAACCCAAATACCCCCTCCCCAAAACCTGCCACTCAGCGTTGACCACATGTAACTAGCAAAGTGGATTTAGACAGGAAAACATGGGCTCCAGGCATCAACCACAGAAGACCCTGGATGACACAAGGTAGGTCATGTCTGCCTCTCCACGATTGGGTGTGCATTAAACTGAGGAGGAGGATCCATCTAGATAGGCAATGCTGAGTCACAGAGCAGCAACAGCTGGTCCATCCAAGAGACCTCCCAGGTCTCGTTTCCCATCTAGGGCAGGCCCTAGGTCTGGAGGGACACCAAAGGCATGAGGTGGTCTGTGGCACGGTGTCTGTGCTCAAGTCATGTTAGCTTTATAATAGTAATAATGATAATTATCACCGTCCCCTGCCCCACCCTCATCAGCCACAGTCTGCCAAACTTGGCCCTAGTTACAGAGCTAAAAGAATCAGCCAGAGAGAGGGGGAATCAATCACAACAAAGTCACCAGGTTGAGCCCCCATCCCCACTTCTACCCCTGTGGCCTAGACTGGCAGTCCCAGCAAACTGCCTAGTGATTCTGCAGGGCAATTTACATAGCCCTGGTGGGTCCCACTGCGATGGGCATTCTTATCTGGGTGCTTTGGACTTGGCTAAGTGGCCCAGAGACAGACCTTTAGGAATTAGTGCCTGTGTTTACAACATCTTGAATTCTAGCTACTATGCGTTCTTTTAGTTCTAAAGGGGCAGTTGACTGAGGTGGAAATCAGGAATGTCCCTTGTTTGTGGGAGCAAACAGCCTCAGGACGAACTTTGGAACTATGTAGGTCCTCTGAGGGCAGCCCCAGGGGCCCTACAGTAGTAAAAGGTAGCACCTAGCCAAAGGCTGGGCAGAACAAGAGCCAGGAGAACTCCATCTGCTTGGCCATCTCTCCAGGTATCCTTGGAGGCCTCTGCCCAGTACACTCAGTGTCTGCATCTGGCAAAGGAAGGCTTGCCCCTGCCCCCTGGAGCTCTCTACTATTTCTGTTTCTCAAAAAACTAGGTGACCCTATGCCCTTTTAATGTTAATATTGCTCATCACTGTGCCCAGGTAACTGTTTCAATCACATTCTCACCTATGAAAGAGGCCATATAGAAAGAAAGTCTATGCAACTATATCCATAAGCAGGAGCGGGACCAAATGACCACTTGGGTTCAGGAAATTCAGAGCCTTAAAGAACTAGGAGAGGCCAGAATGCCACTGTTTTGTTTGTTTGCTTTGTTTATAATGATCTATAAAAAGTGTTTTCCCATAAACTAATAAAGGAAGCTAAGTTAACTATGCAAACAAAAGCATGGTGGGCAATGTGAACTGCCCATTTTAATGTATTTGTACCTGTCCGTCCTTCCACAAAAGATCCGTGGCTGCGAGGAGTAATTGCTATTAGAATAGTGGGTACGAGTGGTTAGTTTTTCCCCACCGCGGCAGGTTCGGACCTTCAAAGTAACCATTTATGGATGCTCCCTGGTGCTCCAGCCCAGAGGAAGCCCACTCTGAAGGCGCCCTTGGCACCGCCTCCACTCCCTTCCGACTCAGCTCCACACGTCGGACAGCTGCGGCCAGCGGCGGTCATCCTGGTCCCCCGCCTCTGCTGGGACCCAGGGAAGGGAAGCTTTGGAAGTCAAGCGACAGCCAAAAGATAACCTGCCCGCGGCGGGTCTCCGCACCCCCTCCCCTAGCCGTGTCACCTGGCCGCCCCAACCAGGCTGGCAGTGCTCCCGCCGCAGAGACCCGAGGCCGCGTCGCCTGGGCAGTGGGTGATGAAACTTCCCAGGCGCATTACCGCAGAGGGCGCGGGCGGGGCGCGGGGCGGGGGTGGGGGATCGAGAGCTGGTACCCGGGCTCACCAGCTCTCCTGGAGGAGGGTGGGGACGCTGGGGAGGGGCGACTGAGCACTAACGCCGAGTGTGTGCCCCGGGGCGCTCCGTCGCGGCGCTCGCGTCCCTGCCCTCCCCCAGCCCTGAGAGCCCCCTGAGTTGCTTCGTTGGAGTGACCCGGCTAAGAGTAGTTTCTGTCCCCGGCCCCGGCCCGGGGGAGACGTGAGCGTGCACACGTACACACACAGCAGGGGAAGAGGCGCTGCACGCTGCGCCCAACTTTCTCCTTCCTTCCGCGGGCCGGGGGAGAAAGTAGCCGGCTATCCCGAGCCGGCGGTCTTGGAGAGGGGGTCGAACAATAAAAGGGAGGAGATGGTGGTAATTTCCCTGGATTTAGCTTTTTTGTCTTTGTTTTTGTTCTCACCACTTCCGTCCGATGACTGGAGAGTAAAAGGGAACCCGGAGCTGGGTAGCCGGCGGCGGTTTGAGAAAATGCAGGAGTGTGTTTGGAGACGCGTAAAGTTGCCTTTCAAGCTCTGGCCTCCCGGGCAAGCGAAGGTCCGCGGCGGGCTGACTCAGGGCTGCCCTGGGCCTCCCTGTCACCCTCCTGGAAATGATGCAAGTCCCGACCGTCACCTGGATCCGTGCAGCCCAGGCTGGAATAGAGTCGGGATTAGGGGAAGGACGAGAAACCACACTCCAGGTGTTGCACTGTCTTCCCAAGCGGGAAGACGGGGCAGTTGCTCTGACCAAAGACTATATCTAGTGCTTCTGCTCCTGTCTCCAATAGTGGGGTTCTTTTTAATGCAAATTGTCACAAGGCCAGGAATTTCCACGTGTGCTCATTTGGCCCACAGCATCACTGTGCCGAGGAGATTGCTTCAATCTATCAAGTCCTCTGGGCTGGGAATCTCACTGAATTTCAAACGGCGGAGAAAGGAAACTTTCCCAACCCGATGCCGTTGTCACGCGAGCCAGGGGCCCCAGGGACACTGTCCCAGCGCAGATCGTCCCCCTTTAGCTGCAGCTGGAGCTGGGATTCGCTTTTATATTCTACAGCCCTTTCGGCCATTGCCCTGGAGCTCCTGCACACGCGCATGCATCTCCGGCCGCGCTCGCTCATACACACACACATACACACACACACACACACACACACACACACACACACCCAAAAGCGTGACCGCCGCCAGGTCGGCAACTTTGTCGGGCGCTCCCGGCGGAGCTCGGCTTCCTCCTGTAGTAGTTGGGCGCAGGCCCCGCCTCCCGGCCGTGTTGTCAAAAGGGCCGGGGTCTCGGATTGGTCCAGCCGCCGGGACAACACCTGCTCGACTCCTTCATTCAAGTGACACCAGAGCTTCCAGGGATATTTGAGGCACCATCCCTGCCATTGCCGGGCATTCGCGGCGCTGCTAACGGCCTGGTCACATGCTCTCCCGAGTGCTACTGGAGGGCGCTGGGTAACCTCTATCCGAGCTGCAGCCGCGAGGAGGAGGGAAAAGGCTAGCAAAGAGGAAGAGGGGGAGAAGGAGGGGTAGCGGGGAAGGAGGAAGAGGAAGAGGGGAGCACAAAGGATCCAGGTCTCCCTGTGGGAGGTTAATACCAAGAATTATGTGTGCCGAGCGGCTGGGCCAGTTCATGACCCTGGTCTTTGTGTTGGCCACCTTTGACCCGGCGCGAGGGACCGACGCCACCAACCCACTCCAAGGTCCCCAAGACAGAAGCTCTCAGCAGAAGGGCCGCCTGTCCCTGCAGAATACAGGTAAGTGCACCCGCCCCCGCAGCCGGGAGCTGCTGGGAGAGCACACCGTGCACCCACGCGGCGCCCCCCAGGCGTTTAGCCGGGAGCCAGGCACCCACCCAGGACCACGCAAACTCTTGGGATGGCACGGGAAGTGCGAAGGGAAGCGCGAGGCAAGGCGAGGTCCGCGCCGGGTTCCGAGCGCCCGGAATCTGCACGTGCTAGCAGGGTGATGAAATGGCTGGGGCAGGACTTGTTGCTGTCCTCCCCAGGGTCGAGGGGAAATGAGGCAGCGTCTGACGCTGCCAGCGCCAGCCCCCGCCCCCGAGTCCCGGGTCCTGTGCAAAGCTTGCTTCATCCCGGCCGGCATGCGGGAGGCACAGAGGGTCCCCGGAGCTGGGCTGCGCCCTGCACCCGGAAAACTTCTCTTCCCAGCCAGCCGGCCTCAGTAAGAGCGCCGGGTCTTCCCACTCCTCAAAAACTGCCCGACATCCCAAACTTTGCGGGCGAGACAGCTGGCGTTGCGAACTTTCCCCCCGGGGGCACTGCTTTCGGAACGGAGCGTGGGAGTGGCGCAAACCGTACCTCCACTGTGCTGCCGCCATCCCCAGCTCCTAGCCGGGTCAGCAAGCCAAGAAATGGTGAAACGACACGAACTGTGCGCCTCCTCTGCTCGACCGGCTCTTGGCTCACCCACAAGCTGCAAAGCAGAGCCAGGCGTGCAGGGCACGGGGCTGGCCCGTTTCCCAGCTCGGAAAGAGAAAGAAAATCTGCCAACAGCTCCTTCGCTCCACGACCCCCTCCCCCGACTTTGGGGAGCCGTGCGATCGCCGCGGCTGCGGCGTGCGTGCGCTCACAGCACGAGCAGGAAAGCACGAGTGCCCATTAGGGACGCCCCAAGTGAGTGAATCGCGGCACTGAGCGGTCCTGCCCCGGCGTCGCGAAGGGTCTTCCAGAGCCTGTCACCTCCACATGCTGGGGCCGGCACCCCCACCACCCGGAGACCCTCGCCCACCCTCTCGCTCCTCTGGCGCTTCCTCTGAGAACTGAACGTGATTATCGGTGGTTGGTGACCCTCAAAAATACACGCTCCTCATTCTCTCCCTAGATTTAATCTGAATGCGGATTATCAGCTCCGACCCCGCCCTTCTTCCAAAAAACACTTTTCTGATGTAATTTTGTGGTTGGTTTAAATCAGAGCCTTGGGTAGTGGGGAGGGAGGAAAGAGGCTTTGCACGCTGCAGCCTGACAGTTAACTCCCTCCGTCTGTCCTTTCGGAGAGAGGAATGGGGGCCACATTTGGTGAAGAAGAGCTGCCAGCTCCCAGGCTGTGGGAATTCTAGGGGATTGGGTGATATCTCATCCCTATGCCTAATTAAAAGGAGGCTGCAGCCGTGGATAGTGGTGTTTCTAAAGGCTAGACCCCGTCCAACTCCACTCCTGAGCCTGCTTGCCAACCGCAGCTTCCCTAGCTGGTATTTTAATGCGAAGGGTTGGGAGGCACTGCCTTAATAGGAATTTTGTTTTGATTTTTAGGTGTTGAATCATAAAGCTGAATAGAAACTGCTTTTTGGACGCTGTCACTTGGGTGTCAGGAAGGAAATGGCTGTGATTTAATAGTAGCAACTTCTGCAGATCAAGTAGAGAAGGGTACTTCATTGGTGAAGACTTCAGTCTTCAATTTAAATTTTTATTTTTGTCTGTGGGTTTAAAAAGCTGAAATATATTTTGCTCTCAAACTAAGTATTCCCACATATACTTTAATAAAATGGAAAGGATGAAAGGGAGGAATGCTCAGACCAACCTTTCTGGTTATAATTTTTGTAATTTTTTCTCTCCTTCCTACAAATATTTACAAACAGAGACATTTTTCATGAGCAGTTAAAGGATGAAATTTTGTTTCCCAGGTCCTGATATCGTCATTACTAACTCTTTTTTCCTCCTTAAATTTTCCTTTAGTTGTTACTAATTTTTATTTCAAATGACCTCTCTGCATTGTCCAGCATGGGTCAGAGTTTTTTACATTATCTGTATGTGATTTTCCTTTTAGCGCAGATCCAGCACTGTTTGGTCAAAGCTGGCGATGTGGGGTGTGGCATGTTTGAATGTTTCGAGAACAACTCTTGTGAGATTCGGGGCTTACATGGAATTTGCATGACTTTTCTGCACAACGCTGGAAAATTTGATGCCCAGGTAAAAATCCATCCAGAGCATGAAGATTGTTTGGGGTGGGCATACATGATTGAAATGTTCATTAGAAAGCCTTGTTAACTAACTTCCTTTGCTATGCCTTGTGGTGTGTTTTAGGGCTTGCAAGCGACAGTCTAGGTATAAAACATTATGCCAGTGTCTCCCTTCTGCACTCATAAGCTGCATCTACACAGGCAGGGTGGACTGGCGACCAATGTCATAATAAGTGATAAACACCTTATAAGGGGACATCCTGTGTCTGGCCACCAAGAACTTCATCCCCAAAGCGCATTGCATGAGGTGCAGGGGCAGGAACGCCCAATCATACATTTCAAAAGCCATTTTCACCTACTAGGAAAATGAGACAAAAGTGTGTAAAAATTCATCATGTGGTATGTGTGCAGGCAACCCAAATAACTCAGGACATCCAAAAGAGCAGACTTCCGTTCCTCCTGAGTAGCAGATCCTTCTCTTCAAACCTGACAGGTCAAAACCCTGATTGAGTCTTCCAATTCCACACTTTCCTTTTGTTCTATATAATAAATATAGTCAAGGCCTGACCCACTTCAGTTATCCCAGGGTCCCAAGGGGAACGCCGAGTTGATGCTCAGGGCAGGGTACGAACACAACAAGCAACCTTATGGCTCCAATGCTGACAACTCAAATACATTTTTAGATGATATGTGGCATGGCATTAGGCTCACCTTCTTCATGTTCTCCCTGGCTGCTTATATGCCCTGTGGAAACGCCCTGTTATTATATCCCAGAAACCTCTCTCCCCTAGTTTATTGGAAAGGGTGGCCATCAGTTTAGGTGAGATTTATGGATGTCACCAGTTACCATCCGTTGACATGCAGTAGTGAGCCTAACAAAGCAGTGTCTGGGAACCAGGCGGGGAGGCGATGATGGGGCCAGCAGCCTGCACTGCAGAGGATGTGCAGTGGCAAGAGAGGAAACTGAAACCAGGGAAGGAAAGAGGTAGAACTTTGAATTCCTCGAGGCTCCATAATAAAGCATCATTCTGGATTAACGGGAATTAGGAAACGTAATAGGAAATCCGGAGGAAAGACGTGCATTTAAGGGCAATCCCACAGGATGTCAGGGAAGAATACCAAGCACAGATGGCCACAGCCCTCGCAGAAATTAATCTTCCTTTTTTTTCTCAACCAACAGGAATATATTCTCAAGTTAGAGGCATCCCTTTCAAGTCGATGCTCAGCACATAACTGCTTAATAAACTGGCACACCCTGCCCTCCATTCCATTTGGCTCTGGCTGGAGAGTCAAAAGAGTCTCCATGGCTCTGGCCATGGAAAGGGTGCCTGGGCCACATGGTTTTTCAGAGATCAGATGCTATCTGTAGACATTTCTATGGCTGCTAAAGAAGAGAACCAAAATAAATGCGCTGGCTGGCTTCCCACTTCCAACCTAAACCCGTTTACTTTCTCAACTCAGTGACTTCCAGGCCTGTCTAAAAACAGAGGGGTGACCTCTCCAGCGACAGCTCGTTTCTATAGTAATGTGGGGTGCGGGGATTCCTGAGTAGGCACCCCACAATGCCTACAGGCTGTGGGAGGTTGATAAGGGAGCAGCACCAATCTCCCCTCACACCCCCAACAGCTGTCTCCTTTCTAGGGTAAGCACAATCAAACGGGGTTGCCAGGAAAGAGAAATGCAGGCCAGATGTATGCCTGGCTGCCTTCGCCACTCAGAGGCAGGGAGCATGGGGGAGGGGCCCCCAGTGCGGCAGTTCAGACTCCAGATGCTGCCAGGCAGGGTGCCAGGCCAGCCTTTTAGAGGCAATAATCCGAACAGTTTAAAGGAGTAGAGTCATTTTCAAAAAGGAAAAGAACACTCTTCCTGGTAGGGTGGGAGGAGACAGGGTATGGATTTGGGTCCGAGGGAGGAGCTAAGGCAGAAAGGGAGGCACAATTAGCACTCAATCTTGGTGTTGCTCCTGGAATCAAGGGATAAAGGAAAAGTGTGAGATTTGGACAAGCAGGCACCTTCCTCTTAGGGAAAACTGCTCTCCGAGAACCGTGAAGGATTTATGAATTTGTATCTGGCCAAATTCCCTTTGTGTTCCAGAAAAGTTGACACTGAACCAACATGGGGCTACTTATACCCATGGAAGCCCAGTTGGAGGGAAACTCACAGAGTAGCAGGGGAGGAAGGAGGGAGAGGTGTTAGTCTACAGAATGAACATCCCTTGCTGCCAAGTGCTGGAGCTGTTCTGTCACTCTGGACATGCCTCCTGATGTGGCATTGCCTGTCAACTGGGAGGACGTCCATCTCAGGTGGGGCCCTGCGGTTTCGATCTCAGAAATATCCTGTGTAAGCTCAAAAAGGGCTTAAATGTCCAAGCATGTAACGAGGAATCCTGCTCTCTGCCCCTCTCTCCCTTCCCTGACCTGTGTGTTCTCAGGGCAAGTCATTCATCAAAGACGTCTTGAAATGTAAGGCCCACGCTCTGCGGCACAGGTTCGGCTGCATAAGCCGGAAGTGCCCAGCCATCCGGGAAATGGTGTTGCAGCTGCAGCGGGAATGCTACCTCAAGCACGACCTGTGCACGGTGGCCCAGGAGAACACCCAGGTGATAGTGGAGATGATCCATTTCAAGGACATGCTGCTGCAGGAGTAAGTACTGCCCCGCAGAGGGCCTGGGGTGGAGGGGCTGCCCAACAAGGTCAGCAATGTTTATGGGAGGAGAGCCGCATTGCTTCTAGAGGCTGAATGCCTGACAAATGGAGAAGGCTTCCATTTACTTCAGAAAGCTACACTGACTCACCTAGAAGGCTCCTTTCCTGCAGGCTTTCAGAAAAAGAGAATTCTCTCATCAGTCTCAAAATCACAAGCAACAGAAATGGGAAATCATTTTACTAAGCATGAAATGTGTTGATTCAAAAATGCTCTTCATCTTCCCCTGAGCCAAGAACCCACTATTCTCTGACTATTTTGAGTAGCTGGAGAGGTGTCCTTACAGACAGCAGATTGCTAATAACATTTGTTGATTATTTGCTAAGTGCCAGGGCCTGGGCTAAGAGCTCCTTGTGACTTTTTCACTTGATCCTCAACACAGCCCTTGTCACCTCCATTTGACAGATGAGGAAACTGAGACTCACTAAGGCTAGCGACAGGTAAAGCCAGGCTTGGGACCCAAGCAGTCTGGCCCCAGAACCTATACTCTTAAATGCCAAAAGCAGAGCTATTGATGCTTTTCCTGCCTCCTTAACTTTCCTTTCCCATAGAAAGTTTGGTTCACCTTCTCTAACACATCGGTGCCCTCCCAGAGAATATGCAAAACAAATGCCAAAAACTTTAATCAGCTGAATACTTTTATGCCAAAACAAGGAAATGTGAACTTACTTATCTGAAGACTTGAAATTCAATGACAAATTCAGGATGCATCCCATTCCTTATAAAACATCCCAGCTAGAGGATCCTAAATTTTACAGCATGGTAAAGCACATTGGTAAACACTTGTTTCTAACATGAGGCAAGGCCAGGCATCCCTGAAGATTTTTTTTTTTTAATATTGACGATGGTTCTTTCCTCAGCAACACAGAGCAGAAAGCCACTCACCAGGCCAGTTCAGTGTAAGTCATTACCAGTTTAATGGCACTGTTGGTCTCTCCATGGTGACTCATTGAGCCAAATCAGTATAATTGTATGAACTCTTGCTCCTCAGTCTGTGTCACAACCTTCTTCCAGCTATGTCCCTACCAACACCAACACCACTTAGATGACAGAGGACAGCAACCACCTCCTGTCCCTCTCCACTTGGTTATAAGGTCATAGGCATCTTGCAACACTCCTGGTGCAGGCAAAACTGCAGGAAGCTCTTGCCAAAAGCAAAATAATGTTGCATTTTCCTTGAATTAGGCTAATACCTTATAAAATATTTTTTATTCTTCAAATATTTGTAAAGAAGCAATAGCAGCCACAGCATCACCAACCACAATGATAGCTGTCATGTTTTCTAATGTGCTAGGCCCTTGGCCAGGGCATTTACATGGGTTATCTCATTTATCTTTCCTAAAGATGCTACCAGACAGAAATCACTATGCCCACAAGGAGGAAAGTGAAGCTAAGAGATTAGAGAACTGGCACTGAGGTTTGATTCCTGCTTTTAAGCTTTGGAATTGCTGGTATACGTGACTGAAGCCAGTTGTCAGGAGTAGACTTCAAAGCTGCTCCTGGCCTATCCCCTCCCTGCTAGACCTGAAAGGGGTCACAGCTCCCCACATGTGGTGGGCTTCTTGTCCTTTTATCAAATATATCCCCATTACACAAGGAGAACACTCTAGAATTCCCTTCCTTCAGGTGCCTGTGGAAGAGGTAAGTGCCCCATGGCTAGGAAACGCCATGAACTTCACTCACCTCCAGGCCTGTCACCCATTAGAGAGAGTCTGCTGGCCTCAGGACTGGATGAGTGATGGGGCCCATTCCTAGTTTATAAGGCTATAAAGCATGCCTGGCGCGCAGGAAGACTATCTTTCTTGGAGAAGAGTATTCTTTGGGAAAACTGAAGGTTTGAAGTCCCACCCCCTCCCCTTAATTTAAGACGGAGGTAAAGCCCTGTGAGTTCTAGTGTCTCTTTCTTGGGAATATGGCCCTTCGGGCCATGGGCTTCTCACACCATTCAGAATGAGCCCATGACCCCCTCCCCAGCCTGCTCTGGAGTAAGAAGCCCGCTCACATGATGGTCCTCTCACTTCCCGCTAAGTCAGCATCTCTAGACAGGGGTCTCCCCTAACTCCAGCTTCCCAAAAACCCCTATTACCTTTCCTTCTGAAGCCATGACGTGGCTGTGCATCAGCTTGTACGTCTGGCTTAACTGCCTGTTTTTCAGTTGTTTTTTTCCTCCAACCATCTTAACTGATTTAAAATATCCTATCGGTCCCCAAATATCAAGAAGGCCACTTCCGAATGTGTGGCATTGGTTAAAAAAAAAAAGGGAGAGAACCTCCAGAACTTGCTTTTCATTTTAGAGAAGAGGAAATCACAGTCACCCCAGAATCTGCACCACCCCCATTCTTCAACTCAACCCCCACCACACCAGAACACTCACCCCCAGTTAATACTGCTCTTTTCAAGCTCTTCCTCCCCGCTCCCCTCGCCCCTTCCCGCCTGCCCCACTTTCTGCACAGCATCTGTTTCCCCCTAGCTGCAGCCAGCCTGCCTCAGCCCCCGGCCCCCACTCGCTGTGTCGATGGGTGCTGGCAGCCTCCAGGCACACCCCCCTCCAAGTATTTTTTTAAATCCTTTAGCCTTGCTGACACCCAGTTGAACGAGCTAGACTTTGTCATTAGACACGGGCTGAGCTTGCAGCCTGAGAAGGCACCGTGCCAGCTCAGAACACGGCTTAGATGAACTTGGTTCGGCACACACACCCCTCCCCGCAGTTCACAGCTTCCTCCTCCTGAGAAAAGGCCAAGGGCAGAGGAGAGCGTGGGTTCGACCAGCCTTCTCGGATCCAGATCGGCCTTGGACTTCTGAGGGCTCATCTGGCAGACAGAACTCCCTGGCCGAGGAGGCAAAAGAGAGGCCATCTGTATATTCCCAAGACAGCTTTCCCCTTACTCTGGGGAAAGGAGCTTGAAGACAGCATCCAATCCAGTTAGTGTCTCAGAAAGACAGATACTCAGCCCTGCAGTGTGCTCACCTAGCCCTGGTGCTGCGGCAGGCACAGTCAGGTGCTAAAATCCTGCCGCCGCTTTAGCAGACACACTCAGTGAACTCGAGCTCCAGAGGCAGGTTCTAGTTTTCACAAAATAAAAGGAAACAAACAAGCATGGAGCATTTGCCTCCTGCGTTCTCACCTCCGGACAGCCCAAGGAGACCGTGTAAGGTTGTCTTGCGCTGTCAGGGGCCTGTCTTAGAGGGCTGAAAGCCCTTTGCTCAGCCGCCATGCACAGACTTGCTGACTCCAAAGTCATCAAGCAGGCCCTGAAAAGCAGCTTGATCTCTATCAGCCAGAACATTCCTCCTCTCTGCTCTGCTCTCAGCCGAGCCCTGGGCCCTGAAGCCC